GGGAAGGGAAGGGAAGGGAAGGGAAGGGAAGGGAAGGGAAGGGAAGGGAAGGGAAGGGAAGGGAAGGGAAGGGAAGGGAAGGGAAGGGAAGGGGTGGCAGGTGTCCTAACCCTGGAAATATTCAAGGGCAAGTTGAATGAGACTGTGGGCAACCTAATCTATTTGATGATGTCCCAGTTCATTGCAAGTGGGTTGTAACCTTCACAAGGTCCCTTCCAAATCAAGCTATTTTATGATTCCATCATTCTATAAAAGATGGGTATGCTCTGAATGAAAAGAAAAATATTTCCAGTGGTATAATTTTTATCTACTTATTATTTACTTACATGCTTACTATTTCTGCTGAGCGTCATTTGCTTCTCTCTTTACCTTTAAAAGCATGAAAACATTAGAAAATAAAATTAATATATTTCTCAGGTTTATGTCCCTAGTTTATGGATGTGTAATAGAGCAGGGGAGAATTCTGAAAAGCTTATACTGGCAGAATTTGATATTGATTTTTGTAATGGAGGAAACTCAAGTTGAAACACTGGGATTCAGTTGTGATTATTAACATTTTGAGTTTTAATTTTAGTATAGAAAAAAATTCTAAATCTGTTGGAGATTATATGAAAATTTCCAGGTTTGGAAAATCGACCACTTATTATAAAAAACCCTCAGATATGTTGAATTTCTTTCTTTTCCTTTGGATTCTTGGCAGTCTAATAATTTACAATTTTGTTGGATCAAGAATATATCAAAACCAGAATTTCAAAAACTGCTTTGATATTTCAATCTATTTGGGAACAGCAAACATTGAAAAGGTTCACGTAATGTTTTTACAATTTTCTAGAGATTATTTAGTCAGGTCTTATATTTTCTCCCATCTATTTTGGACATGTAGAGAGAATTGATAATATTATAAGGTCCTGATCTGGCAAAACACCTAAACTTATGCTTAAATGTAAATAGTTTCATTGAAAATATTGTTACTTTCTAGAGGAATAAGTTGAAAAGAAAGACACATTGTAAACTAGCTAGGGAGCCATCTCAGCAGAGATTTTTACTTCAGAAAGACATTAGTGCTTTTCATAAAATCATGTAAATTTGTCCAGAAAATGCTGTTTGTTTCTATTTCTACAACTACTTTTGTGTATCTCTGCACACAACCAGACATAGAATTATTTAATGTATATTTAGTCTCAACAGAGGAAAACAGAGTCCATCAGAGGACAATGTTGTTCATTATTTACCTGTTTTGGACAAACTCACAAAACACTGCTAAACTCAAGTTAAGGGAAAATGGTTCATATTTATTTTTAATGCCCTACTTTCCCAGGAAATTCCAGAGTAAAAAAAAAATGTCTCATCTAGACAGAGAGAGGGGAGGAAATGGAAATGGAGGAAGCAAAAGAAAAAGAATGTTTCTATCTGTCACTTACAGTTGTATTCTACCACCTCCTGATTTGACTAATGGCAGTTGCATAATTATCATTTCTCATGTGTTTGGTATTTTTCTTCATTTGTACTGCCAGTTGTCCTGATGGAGTACCCTCAATGGTGTTATTCAAAACCATGAGCTCCCTATGTGGAACATTAATGCTTTCACGGGAAACATATTTTGTAGGTTTTTAATTTTCCCTCTAAAGTTTCCACTGCTGGAAACCCTAAATACACCAATAGTATTGAGCTTTTCTTGAGAGTGGAAACACCTTTTTGCACATATCAATTCAAATGTTAAAGAAAGCATAATTGTTAGACTGATATCCAAATTATTTTACCCATGCTTTTTTAAAAAAGAGACAATAAGAAAAAACATACTTCACCATGGCTGTAATCCAAAGCTCATTGAATAGAAGCAATTATGCCTTGATCTATCAACAAAGATACTATCTGTACTGATAAGGCACTCTCCATCCAATTAAGATTTATTTCTAAGCACAACATTTTAATCTTAAAGCATAAATGCACTCTTAGTGATGAATAAATCATTCTTTTGTGCAATTTTATAATGGTTCCACTCTCCAATGAGGGAAAGTATTCCATATTTCTAATGTATGAGGAAATTAACCTGAAGTCACATTTAAATTCTTCATTCACTATCGTGTCAATATTCTTACCAGACTATCTTAAAAATACAGTGTTAACATTGAGCTATTTAATTAGAGCGCCTCAGGAAGCATTTTGACTATGTAACACAAAAGGTCTAGCATGCTTTCACCTTTCTGTGTTCCAACATACATTAGCTGATTAGAAAAAAAAATAGCTAAAAGGTTTCAAGAAAATAGAACAGCATATTTGTCATGCACATATTATTCAAAATTAATTCTGGTGTTTAGAACAACAAAACAATTTGTTGGGTTTTTGGACTAACAAAGCATTAACAAATTAGAATCAAATCAAGAAAACAATAATTAAGTAAAAGGTTAATTAAAAGCCATTTTCTTCAGTATCCAAAAAGTAATATAAGATAATAATAGGGTAGCAGTATTATTCAGAACTTATGAAATACAGATGAGTTTATTAAAGATGCATATTTTTAAGTGTCTAACAATTGAGCATTTTTATATAAGCTCAGGTACTGAGCAAATCTAATCAGATTGGTTCTGAACACTTTGTCTAAAGTAACATTAAAAATTATTTAAAAACTACTAGGTTTAAATTTTGCAAAATGTTTGTCTGTTACATATTGAAAACATTCTCATCAATATTAAAATTTTTGCAGAAGGGATATGTAGATGCATTCAGAAGTTAGTTTTTGCTCATAATTTTCTCCTTCCTGTAGATTCTCAAGTCACCCTCATCACTATAATGCAATCTCTTTTCAGTAGAGTTTTAAGCACTCTGATAACATCTGTCACATATAGTTCATGATCCCTCTCATCCTCTCCCTAGGGAGTGGGTATAGAGCACTGAGTCATTTTGTTAGAGTTTGATTTGGAGGAATCTATTTTTCATACATTGCTATATAATTATTTAATTGTGTAGACAATCTGACAGATATTCTTTATCTCATGAAATTATGTGTATTTAGTAGTTTACTAGATGAATATGAAACATGCTTTATTAAGTATTTTTTATCTATTTTAGGGTAGTTGAACTGTAGCTGTTACAAAAGTCAATTGCTCTGCTAATGTGATCAACAATATAAGAACATGGCTGGAAACCTATAAGAAGGCTGTATGTCTCTTAGCACCTTTGGCATTTTTACAATTCAGAAGAGTGATTATAAAATAATTCCAGTCCTTTGACACTTCATTCACTATAGTTCAAGTTGATTAGCTTTTCTGGATGGGTTACTGGTTTCCCTCCAACTTTTATGATATTACTAGTGATGCCATCTGTTCCAGGTATTTTTCTTCTTAAAGGTTTCACAACTTTCTCTATCTTCCTTTTGAGGGTATAAGATTTTTTCTTCATGTCCCTTTATGTCATAGGAGGTGGTGAAACTTGTCATGTTTGTCTCTATGCATTCTTGTAGAGCTGCTGGTAAAGCTCATCTGCTCTCTGCAGGATGCTATCTTTCCCTCTGTAATTACTCTTTCATCACCATCTGAGAGGGACATCTGGTGTCAATTATCTGTTTTCTTCTCATCTTGCTACAGCTGTTTCTTTTAAGAGTATTTTAAATCTTTTCTATATTGCATCATATATTTGAATTCTTTGTGATCTTCCACTTTCAAGGTCATGTAGAACTTGTAGTTGCAAGCAATCATTTTTTCTTTCAATTCCATTCCTTTTATCATGAGTGTCCTATATGCATTTGCACTAAAGTGATCGTGATAGATCACTGTCCTGATAGCCAAAGGTACAGTTTTAATGAAATTTCTTTTTCAAATAAATTCCTTGACAACACTTTTCTCCCAGTACAGTTTGATACTTAATTTTGTTATTTTCTTGATGCTTTTTTGTAGTTTCATTGGCTTGAGTAGCAATACTTTTATAATGTAGAAGGTAACGAGGTTGAAGGCTTGAATCTGAAAACTTCAGGTAAAATACACTGAGAGTGTACATGGAATCTGTTTCTAGCAGATTGTCCCTCAGACATCCATTAGCAGAGCTGGTACCAGTAGACCAGATGCCTGTCCTCTATAGCTGGTCTCAATGTCTTATGTTAAGGGTGGGGTGCTGACCCTCTGCCAAATAATACTGATGTATCTTATCCAAGTCGAGAAACTCTCTTATACAAAGTTGCCAAGAAATTCAGACAAAGATGGTGAGAGAAAACCCCAAAGTGAAAGCATTTTAAGATCTCATCAAAACAGAAGTTTGGATCTTGAATAAAGACTGCTTATTTCAGTGGATCAGAAATTCGCAAAGAAGAGATACTAAGCATTCAACTCTTCCAAGCTATATATATGGTTGTAGGACAATTATTACTTCAAAGTAAAAAGCAATCCAAGCCTCTCCCTTAGGCAGATTATTATCTCCCTTTTGTCTTTTCTATCCAAATGAGGAAGGTTAATATTATTGCTTTGGTTTGGCCTTTTTTTTTTTTCCTGACTTACGTAATGCCAAGACTGCTTACATTTCCTATATTTGGTTGAAGTGCTATATAATTGCACTGCAGAATATGCCAGGGCAAAGAAGAAAGATTTATTTATTTCAGGTAAGGACCATTTGCAGTCTTTTGTGTATCTAGAGGAGAATGATAAGTAGCTGAGGATATACACAATCTCTGGTCATGAGAAGCAATGCTATGGTGACCAGTGACAAGCTTGAATAGACATATTTTCCCAAATCAGCCTTCTGCTGAAAGAAGTAAAGATGCTTAGATGTCTCAAAGCTATTAGTTTTTGTTTTGTAGTTTAGAGAGTGTTATTTTAAATGAAGTTTCTTTACTTGCAGGACCCTATTTGCATTTTAAATCCAGCAAACACAGATTTTCAAGATGTCCTGGTTTTGGTCGGGGTAGACATAATTTTTCCTCATAGTAGCTGATATGGGATCATGCTTTGGTCACGTTCTGGAAACAGCTGGTAACACAGAAATTTTCTTGTTACAGCTGAACAGTTCTTACAGAGACTTGAGGCCTTTTCTGCCTCTGACACCACCCTAGCAGACACTAAGCTGTGTTCACAAGCAGTTGGGAGTGAACACAGCACACTCCAACTGACTTAAGGAATGTTTGATATCATATGGGGCTGTCTCCAGCAAATAAAAGATAGGGAAAGAGTGAGGAAGATGTTTAGAGTGATGGCATGTGACTTTGTTATGCATAATGGACCCCTGAGTTCCTAGGGATGGCAGAAAACTTTCCTGTCTGTGGGAAGTGGTGAATTAATTCCTTGTTTTACTTTGCTTGCATGTGCATATTTTGCTTTCCCCATTAAAAGGGATCTTTATCTCAACCCCCAAGTTTTCTCACTTTTACTCTTCTGATTCTCTCTCCCATTTCACTGGTGAGGGAGTAAGTGAGGAGCTGCGCACTTGGGGCTTGGTTGTCACCTGGAGTTAAACTAGCACACAGGAGAAATCAATTAATTCTCAGAAAGCTGAGCATCTTAATGTGAAAACCCAGATCTCTGACCACAGGATGGTTCCACCTTTACTATATAGAAACTGGAAAGAGTTGGATTTACCTGAGACTTTTACTAACATATTATAATCATAATTTTATTCTGCTAATGTTGAAATCAAGAGGATTATTTTTTTAAAATTATTTATTAATATTTAAAATTTAATTAAATTGACTTCTTATTCAAGGGATGAGAAAATTCTTTTTCTGTACTTCAGAAATATTATACCACTTGGCTCATGTATATTTTGAAATATAATTCTCAACAAACACTCTAGTTTTTTTTCTTTCATTATTGTTGTGTACTTCATGCACTAAGAAGTCAACTTGCTTCTAATTTCAGATTTCTACTGCTTTATGTGACACAGGATTCAGTGAAACCTGTTCTATCAGTTATACAGCAACATGAGTATTCGATTTTTTTTTTTGCCTCAGATGTTACTGGCAATCAGTCTTCCTATATCTCTAAATTTCTGGTAACAGAAGAACACTTTCAAGATAACCTGAGAAACCTGAACACACACAAGTCCATGGGACTTGACAAGATGAATTCCAGGGTCTCAGGAAAATTGACAGATGAAGTCATTAAGCTACTCTATCACATTTGAAAAGTCATAGAAGTCAGGTGAAGTCCTTGGTGACTGAGAGAAAAGAGAATATTACAACCACTATCAAGAAAGGTAATAAGAAAGACCCTGGGAAGTACGAGCTTCTCTCTGTGTCTGGCAAGACTGTGGAACAGATTATCCTGGAAATTATGATAAAGACCACAGAACACAGGGACAAGGGAGTAGAGAAAACCAAGATGGTTTCACCAAGGTCAAATTCTACCTGATTTATCTAACAGTGGCCTTTCGGGGTGGAGTGACTGCATCAGTGAATAAGTGAAGAGGTTTGGTCATCATCTACCTTATCTTCTGTAAGATCTTTGATATGGATCCCCACATTTTTACCTCTAAGTAGGGAAGATATGGATTGGATAGATGGACTGTTAGATGGATAAGGAATTGGTTAGAATGGCCACATTTGAAGAATTTCAGTCAGTTTCTCAATGTTCAAATAGAAACCGGTAACAAGTTCCTTCAAGGGTCCATATTAGAATGAATATTATATAATTTCTTCATCAATGGCATTTTTAGTAAAATTCAAAGCATCTTTAGGAAGTTTGCAATTGACGCTATGAAAGATGCTGGGCCATGCCCAATCTAATCTCAGACCAGGGGATTAAATGATTAAGAACACGCTGGCAGAGAAGGATAACTTGGTTATGGTCACAAATTCACACTAACTTCACACCAAAACCTGTTTTTAGACAAAAGCTTTGATGATTCTTTAATCAGTGGAAAACACTCATTTGTGACAGAGGCTTCATGGGTTTTGGTTTTGTTTTTATTGATTCACAGTGCACACCCAACCATTCTTTGTGCCCACTGGGGTCTTTGAACACAGACAAAACACAGCAAAAGCTGATGCCCACCCTCTTATGAAGGGATACATCTTAAGCTTGAAGTAGCTTATCTAGGCCAAATCTATATCTAATCGAATATTAAGATATGTTAATCTTAATAAACATATGTATCTTCTACTTTTAAACCATAGGTATGAAATTAAAGCTAGAAAGGGAGTTCAGTTCATCTAAGAAACACAGGAGAAATGAAATTTCCCTACCACATAATGTGGATGTCAGGATGTATTTCTTGTGAGTGTTATGGAAATGAGCAGGGAAATACATAGAAGAGATACAAAAAATAAGCTCTTTCCATCATTTCTAAACATTTTATACTGTAATAGACAGGGACTTTTTAAAGAAAAATCATCCAAAGCCCAAGATCCTTCTTAGCTGTTGTGCACAGTAACCTCAGGCAACTAGGGTGTTATAAAATTTAATTTCTATTTAAAGAGATAAATTGGAGCCTCTTGTATCACCTTCCAGTTCAGCTGTTTTAAAAATGAGGGTATAATGAGGATATAAAGTTGGGAGAGGTCTGCAGAAACACTTAAGTTCTGCAAAGGGATACCTAAATTTCCCATAACAGAATGAACTCTGGAAGTAGATGGGAAAAACTTACAAAGACTTAATATTTTTTACCCTTTTGGAAGAAGATGTTATCATTAGTAGTAGTGGGTGGGTCACAGCCAGCAAATCAGGCAGCTAACTGGGATTAGCAATACTTCTATTCAAACCTTAACTGATTTCTCATATAAATGTTTTAGAAAGATTTTTTCATACCATTTGCTGTACAGACATGAGGTTGGTGAAGGAAAAGCCTCTGAAGTAATTTTACAGCATTTCAAAAATCTGAAAAATACATAATTGGGCTAGTGTTCACTGGACGAAAGAGTTCTTTTTTTGAACCATTATTTGCTTTGTGACTTTCCCTCTCATTCAGGAACCTTGGTCCCAGGCTGCTCCTTTTCCCTGAAAGCCCACAATTCCCAGCCTGGTCTGACTGCTGGAGAATGACACATGTGCAATTGAGATGTGGGAAGAAAATAAAAAAGGGCTGGGAGCAAGATGGCTGACAAAATGGGTTATGTACAGAAAGTGCAAAAGCGTGGAATTTCTGGATGGCTCTTTCTTGAGATATAATTGAGGTGCTAACTGAAACCATGCAGAGCAACCATTTGATGTGTAGGCCAGTTGTTCTTTTTAAAGCTAAATCATTTTAGAGAATGAAGTGAAAACAGTAGGCAAGGTCAGAACAAAAGGTTATGTCTTTGTAACCCATTTGGACAGAGTACATTTGCCTTGGAAAAGATGGGGCTGATTCTGCTGTACTAGAAGTGAAGACACGAGAAGAGAATGGGGCATAACGGAAAAACACAATGGAAAAGTGAGTTAGGATACCCCAACCAATATTTGACTTGTCTAAAACAGATAAATAAAGCATCCTAGAACAAGGAAATAAACTGGGTTGTATTATCTATTGTATATTGTGCATTGTGTATTGTTTTCCAGTGTATCAAAGAGGTGTTGGGACATTGACATTCATACCTGCCCTTGCTACACTCATTGTCTATTCAGGGATGGGAGGAGCATCTTTATGCTTAAGGAGAGGGAAACTGCTAGACAGGAAAATGGGAAGTCCCTTATCAATACAGCTTTTTCTGTTACAAGGCCTGTATAATTTATAATTCCCATAAAACCTTCACAAAGGCTATTAGCATGTTTTGGCCAGGAATATAACTTTAGTGATGTAAGTTACTAAAAATCTCTTAATCTGTCTCCTTTTGACTGACTACAGTGAATAGGATTTCACAGTAACAAATTTCACCAGGCTCAAAGGCATTGAAAAGTATGTTAGACCAGCTCTTTAATAGTATATTAATCTTCTGTTAATCCTACCTATAGCACAAATCCTCATAATACATATGTAGCTCACACTACCAGCATTTTTGGGATGTGATGCAGAGTTAGGCAATTTGATTGGATGAAAATTTAATTGCTCCAACCTAGTTACCATCCTTAAGGAGTAATATTGAATAGATACTCAGAATAGCTTGCTATACCACACTACAAGATTTGCAGCTTCTTCTTTCCTTTGAGTAAAATTTCAGTATTTTTTCTATGGAAACATTATTTACAGATTGCCTTGTTGTAAAATATAAGTGATTTACTCATATTGTAAGTATGAGAAATGTGTATGAGAGTACCTACTAAATGGGAATTTCTTTTTCCATGTCTAGTTGCTTATTATTTTTTCTTTAGATTACAGTTATATGCAATTATGCTCCTTATTAAGAGAAACCTTTTTTGCATCCCACTACATAGTGAAGTGATACCACTTTTACAATGTTCCTCCACCAGTGCTCACCAAGTAGCAGAAAGTCTCTATGATGTGAAGTTACTGCTTCATGTCAGTGTGAATTATCTCACAGAGGGTGATAGACATCTGCACACGAACAGAAGCCTCCCATAGGCAAATCTTTTCATTACATCTCAACAGTCTCCCTGCCTCCATCAGTCTACAAAGCAAAATTCCTGTTTGATCATGAACTCAGCTCTCTACAGGACAGGGCATATTGCAGCACTATCACACAGTGGTTTAACTCTGTGTTGTTGTCAGGAGTACTTTGGCTTTCAATATGTGTTAGAGAAGTGGGGTTTTTTTTGCCTGCAGTGTAAAGAGACATTATTTACTTTTAATTAGTCATCACCTACAAATAAATCCTATTTTGAGAGGTGAATGCTATCTACTTTCAAAGGAGCCTTTCTAATCCAGTTCAAATAATTAATCTGTGATTTTAAATAAACTCTATTGATCAACTTCATGTTCTTTTTTAGAAGATTTTTTTATTCAATTAAATCTTTGGAGTAAATGAGATGGCATCCAAATACTTTTCAATCTCTTAATATAATTCTTCACTTATCATCCTCTCTTTGTCGTCCACTTTTGTATTCAGATAAATTATTGGCCTGTGCTTTCCTAAACATCATATAAATGAGCATAGATTAAGTAAGATATTTGATTTTGTTTTTTTGAAAAGCCTTTTTAAAAAGTAAACCTGGAGACATGAGAAAAAGAAGGGGAAAATGTATTCAGAATAAATTGAAAGTTGGTTTCTTGGTCTATTTCATTAAAGATGTGTTATAAATTGTTCCTTTTCAAATTATCAGAGGTAGTAATGCAGCTGTTTTCAGTTTGCTGAATTTCCATTTCTTCATAACAACAAAATCTTTTTGATCACATAGTGATAGTCACCCCTAACACCCTTCCCCCAACTCCAAAGCAGGTAAATTTTTGTCCAAAACTAGTAACTTAAACTCCTTTTGAAATCAAAGAAGTGATAACAGAACCTCTGGGTGTGATTCATCCCACCTTGCTTGGAAAACCATTTTTTGTCAGGATGAATTACTTTCAGGATGATGCCCATCTCACTCCATGCTGAATCCCAGAAGATGAGAGGCTAATTTGTATGTCCAAACACCCATAGCCAGAAGATGGTGGAGTCAACCGGACACTATTAATAACAGACAAGAATTGTTAGCAATAAGAAAAGACTGTTAATATTAACATGATGTGAGAAAGAACAAGGTATGGCTGGAGAAGATGGGTCATGCAGAGACAGGGCAGCGCTATTCTGGGATAAACATCCTTGTTCTAGTCCATAGAGAGACAACAAAAAATGGCAGTAGAAGTGTAGGAATAAGGCCAAGAAGGTGGAACAGACTGTAGGGAGACATCAAGACCATCCAAGAATCCCAAAGCTTTCTTACTCATTTCCTAGAACAGTCTAAAAGAATGAACTTCACATGATAAATAGTTTGCATAGAAAGCGAGAAAACCTATCTTCAAGGCAGACAAACCTACTCATGAAAATGTACCCCACCAAACCTGGGTTGTGGCCCCAGGACCCTGCACATCCCGTCAGAGGGACTGATGCAGCTGGATCCACGCTGAAGTCAGGATTGACATCCAATCATCTGGACTGACACTTAAGCCAGGACTGACATTCCCTCAGCTGAATCAACACTGGAACCAAGACTTGTGATCTCTTTTTCTCT